AGACTTATTCTGTGCATCTGCTCTCCCACAATATGGCGCTGGGAGAGAAGTAAACAGCTTCCGCACAGCTGCCTCCAGTTCAACTAATAAACTGTAGGACTTGCTCCTGATTGGAGGAGAGCAGCGTACTCGGCGTGTGGGCAGCCGAGTTGGGATTGGCGGAGGAGGACTATAAAGGAGGAGAGAGACGGCATGCACCAGGAACATCTATGGGGAACATCTAAGGGAACCCGTGCAGCCCCCGAGAGAGCCGGCCGGCGGTGTGCCGCTCCCCTGCGGAAGTGGGGAATGCGGCCAGGGGGAACTGCCCTTCCACGGAGGTGGAAGGGGTAGTAGCCAACCCGGGAAGAACCAGCAGCAAACCCGGGGAGGGCCGAGCAGACGAAAGAACAGCGCAGGGTCCTGTGTCGTTCCTCCACGAAGAGGGGGAGCGACATAATGGTGCCGTGACTTGGATATGAAGCCTAGGCAGGGCTTAGTGTTGCTCCTCCACGAAGAGGGGGAGCGACATAATGGTGCCGTGACTCGGATAGGAAACCTAGGACGGATAGAAAACTTAGGAGGGAAGAAACGTGACTCGGATAGGAAACCTGACTCGGATAGGAAACTTAACTCGGATAGGAAACCTAGAACGGATAGCAAACTTAGGAGGAAAGAAACGGGAAGAACTGGGAAAATACTGGAGAGAGAGACTAGCAAACAGCCTAGGGAAAAGCCGGACGAAAAGGGTGCCGGAAGAAGCTATTGAAAGCCTAGGCATAGATTCGGATACGGACTACGGGGGGAAGCTGGGAGAAATCTCTAAGGGCGAAAGTGAAAGCTAGAACAAACAGACTCGGATGCGGACTGTGGGGAGAGGCCAGGAGAAATGAGGGAGGAATATTGTTGGAAGAAAACTTAGGGAAACATACCGGGTAGAGAAAAATGTTAGGGAAATTGAAGCCGCGGGGGGCAGGCCGAGGCGGAGACGAAAGCCACTTTGGGGTTCTCAAGTTAGCCCGGGAATAGGGGGCGAAAAGTTGAAACCAGAAGCTGAGACGCAAGCCAGATTGGGATCCGTCTGATTAGCCCGGGGAGCAAAGGACGGGAAGCCAGATCGTGGGGCGGAGACGTACGCTGGGTTGAATTCGCCAGGCTAGCCCGGGGAACTTAGATTGAATCCTAGTGGCGGAGACGCAAGCTACGCTGTGTTACTCGCGGAAGCCGCCGCGTGCAGAGAGAGCACGGGGCGTGAATAGATAGGGAACGGGGCTGGCGTAGGCCGTGGTTCAGACGCGAAAGGGTTAAGCGTGGAGACCGCGGACCGCGCAAAGCCGGGAAGCCGAGCAGAGAGGCGCGCGGGCTGAAGCGGCTCAGCCGGGAACCCGCCGAGAAGTAGCCTCGGGGCGGGCAGCGGGAAGCTGCGGGGATAAGAGAAACACAAGTTTAGAAGTAAAAGAGAAATAGGAATGCTGGAAGATAGAAGTAAAATGGGAGAAATAGGAATGCCCGGAGATAGAGAAATAGAGAAATAAAAAGGCCTCCCTACAACACTGCAATGTGAGAGCTTGGATTCGGTCTGCCTGATTTAAGGCGGTAAGCGCCAGCAAGCAGCTCGACCAGAGTATGAGCTGCAGGTCACCGAAGATAGGCACAAACCAACACTAATAAGTCTCCCCCACAATACGGCAATGAGAAGGCTTGGATTCGGTTTGCCTGATAGGTTTTGTAAACACCTGCAGGCAGTTCTAGCAGAGCAGAGTATGCGCTGCAGGGCACCGAACACAGGCACGCATCAGCGCCTAAAAACCTCCTCACAACATGGCGAAGAGAGGACCCGGATTCGGTTTGCCTGATAGGACTTGTAAGAGCCTGTGGCAACTCTAGCAAGTAGAGCAGAGTGTGTGCCGCGGGACACCGAAGACAGGCGCGTATCAACGCTAAAAAATAAAAAGAAAGGGGGATCTGTGGGGAGCAATCCGGACTAGACTAAGTTACTCGAATTAAGACTTATTCTGTGCATCTGCTCTCCCACAATATGGCGCTGGGAGAGAAGTAAACAGCTTCCGCACAGCTGCCTCCAGTTCAACTAATAAACTGTAGGACTTGCTCCTGATTGGAGGAGAGCAGCGTACTCGGCGTGTGGGCAGCCGAGTTGGGATTGGCGGAGGAGGACTATAAAGGAGGAGAGAGACGGCATGCACCAGGAACATCTATGGGGAACATCTAAGGGAACCCGTGCAGCCCCCGAGAGAGCCGGCCGGCGGTGTGCCGCTCCCCTGCGGAAGTGGGGAATGCGGCCAGGGGGAACTGCCCTTCCACGGAGGTGGAAGGGGTAGTAGCCAACCCGGGAAGAACCAGCAGCAAACCCGGGGAGGGCCGAGCAGACGAAAGAACAGCGCAGGGTCCTGTGTCGTTCCTCCACGAAGAGGGGGAGCGACATAATGGTGCCGTGACTTGGATATGAAGCCTAGGCAGGGCTTAGTGTTGCTCCTCCACGAAGAGGGGGAGCGACACCATGTAGTTCAGTTGAATCAGTCCAGCTGGAAATGGTAACAGCATTCTGATTACTGTGCCATATGTGAAATTAAGGCTTTTTTTAACCTCAGCTGTTCAGTTGCTGTGTTTTGATACAGATGTTCTTAGAAACCTGGATTGCTTTATGGTTTGACAATGTTCAGCAGAGGAAGCCCCTCCCACTTTGATTTTTAATCATTGATTAATTTTTTTTTTACTATGTAGGACATCTAGGTAGGACTAATGGTATATTTAAAAACACAGAAGAGAGATTAATAAATTTTAGATAGAATGAAAATTTTCCACACTTGTTTTATAAGATAAAAATTGCATACTTTTTTCAGATAGTTCCTATTGAAAAAATAAAATTTATTGTATACCCTAGAAATCATCTTGCTAAACAGTCAATCACACAGTGATCATTAGCTTAGAAAACAGTAGCATAAGTTGCATAAACTAAAATAATGCAGATTGGTCCTTACTTCACATCATAAACACACTTTAACTATAACGGCAAAATCAAGTTAGTGTCAAACATTTTTAAAAGAGTAAATTTTCTCAAGGTTAATACTCTGAAATTTTACTATATTCCTTTGAGTATTCTCTGTGAACTAAAAATACAAAGAAATCCAGCCCATGTAATTTTTTATTAATTCTCAGCACACTCTGGGCCAGTACTTATATAGCATCTTCCCCAGTCTCCTAACTGGGTCACATCACTACTTTGTTTTCTAAGTAAACAAAAGCATTAAAAATTTTAATCAGCAATCATGAAAGGAACATGTGAAATCTAATAAATTCAAATAGCAAATGATATTCAGGCAGAAAGAACCATTATTGAAGACATTAGCTCAGTCTCTATGAATCAGAATGGGAAAAAAATAGGTAACAGAGTATTTGTTAATTCTAGTGCTAAATACAAAATGGGACACTTTAAAACGCTTCTAGAAATATGTTTATGACTTGTAGATATATGGCCAATTTTAGTAAAAATGCACAGTGGCTGAAGAGTAACACAAGTCAATGTGGAATGCCTGTGAGTCCCAAAGAAGAAAACAGTCTTACTCCCTGTAGACTTGTATTTTAAAATAAAATGCTATGAATTCTGATCAATTGTCATTCCCCTTAGTACCTGATACTTTCTAGGCCAAGGAATCCTGAAATGTGTGACGCATCTATTAAAATTAGCAGACAAACATGTGCTTGAAATCCCCAAACAACCAACACCAACAAAGCCCCCTTAAGAGGTTCCTGGGAATTTACCATTGGCATAATGTTAAATGGTCATTAAAAGATGTTTAAATGTCATTGTCTACTGTCTTCAATGTGCCATTACATAGCCTTGAGAACCTTTCAAATAACAATCAATAGAGAATGAATAAGCCTCACCACTTGAAAGTAGCTAGGAAAGGAAGCCAACAGAATAATCTGGCTTTGCTGAGTGGATTCAAGAAAAGACACAATATCCACCCACCCTGTCCTGTGTTCCCTCCCTCTGCCCAGCCCACACCCTTGCAAGAAAGAAAGAGGGAAAACAAGGGAAAAGGTGAGAGAGAAATCCAGGGACCCTGGCATCAACTGTCTTTAGCAGAAAGCCTCATCCTATGGGATAAACTATAGCCATGGAAACAGACGTATGACTCTTACTTTGAAAAATAAAAGGATGACAATGAAATTTGTGTGAGGTCTGTGTGAATCCAGCCCCAGATGTTTACAATGCTGTAGTAGTAGGGCTCTGCAATATGAGAGGTTTCAGACCAAACAGTACAACGGGACACCACAAAGCAGCGCATATGCTATTGACAATGCAGACACGAGCATCATGTTACCAAGAGAGAAGGCAGGCAGAAGACAAATAGCAGCGGAGTTGCCTGAAAAGCTCACTTCACGGACTGCAATCGCTCACAACAAGAGGGACCAAAAAAAAAAAAAAATCAAAACCAGAAAAGGGCTTTTCGCTCCTATCTCCGTGTTAGGCAGCCAGTGGAAATGACTTTTCTTTCTTAAATAAAGTTCCCATAAAGCCCCTATAACTGACAGGGGATAATTATTTTCAGCTTGGGGAGCCTGTCCCAAAACTCTTCACAAGATTGCCAAGGAAAAGAAACAAAATGTGTTTACTTGAGCCACTTCCAGAAGGGAGGGAGAGAGGGGACCTTCGGACGCGATGGGGAAGGGCGGTGCAGACATAGAGGGGCATCGGTGCCCTGCACAACTCGCGAGCGCCCTGCGCGGTCCAGCGAGTGACAAGCCCGGGAGAAGAGACCGAGAGGGTGGCGCCGGGTGGGGGGCGTGCAGGGAGCGGGCCTAGGGGAGGGGATGCAGCCGCACAATGTATACACGGGGGGGGGGGGGGGGTGATTTAGTGTGAAAGTATTCCACTTAATCATTTTACAGGGGTTGGCGACGTAAATATTTAGCTGGCCACATCTGGAACGGATTTCCCCCCCGCGTGGGGTGGAGGTGGATAATTGGCAGGAAGGGAGCACGCGTTTGTTACTTACTGTACGGGCAGTTCTCTTTCTTGGTCCCGCTGACCTTCCCGTTCTTCTCAATCTTGAGAAAGTACTTGGTGAAAGAGAATAGCTTTCTCCAGCGCACATCTCCTTGGAGGTGATTGTAGCTCCGCACATGCCTCCCGGCACTGGAAGGAGAAGAGAAGGAGGAGGAGGAAGAGGAGGAGGAGGAAGAGGAGGAGGAGGAGGAGGAAGAGTTGGTGGCCTCTGGTGACACCATGTCTTGACCAAGGGCTTGGCAGGTGACAGGGACGGAAGACACCAAGAACAGCAACAAGAAGCACCAGCAGCAGCCGCCGGGCAGGTGGGGAAAGGCTGAGGCACAATGTGTCAGTATCCATTTCCACATTGTACTGAAACTCTCGGCACTGGAAATTGTCTCATCAGAAGGAACATACTGGAAGGGTGAGACCTGGTGCAAGGCAAGGAGACAGCTGGAGGTGGCGGCTGCTGGTTAGCTCCCTCCGGGCGCGGATCTGGCCAGAAGTGAATGCACCAACATCCATAACTCCTCCGGAGGGCCGGCAGCCTGGGCTCGCTCCGTCCGCGGATCCGCTGCCTGCGCCTCGCGGGGTCTGCCCGGGCACAGTGGACGTGGGTGGCCGCAGCAGCGGGAGCCGGCGCTGTGGGTCACCGGCGCTCTTCGCTCCCCCAGGAGTCACTTTGTTCTCTTCTTCACTCCCTTCTTCACCATGTTAGATGCAAAAAAGGTCTGAAAAACAGATGACAGCACGGTGAACAAAACCTAAGGGGGGTGGGGAGGGGAGGGGGGATCCCTGCGCCCCTCGGCGGTTGGCACCTCCTGGTCCCCCTCCGCAGAGCCTCAGCCTGCTGGCCGCTGCAGAAAACGTGTCCCTTTGGGGATGTCAGCTCTGCAGGCAGCTGCCCGGTCGCCGTTGTTTCGTTGTTTTCTTCCCCGTCTTCCTTGCTCTTTTTGGTGGTGCCTGCTGATGTGAAGCCTCCAGAAAGTCGCTCCTTTTGGGGGGGAGGGGGGTGGCGGCTGGTGTTTTTGTTTGGGCCCTCTCCCCCACCCCCCTTCCTTTGGAAAGTCCGCTTGTAAACAGGTTGAAGCTCAGAGTCTAAATGTCAGTGGTGGTTCCGAGCCAGAGGTGGGCTCTGCCTCTGCTGGTCAAACCTCATTTGCAGGGGTGGAGGAGCGGGGGGAGGGGGTCAAAAGGCGGTGGGACATCTGAAACCCTCGGCTGCTGGGAACGCCGGGGCGGGGGGGAGGGAGGAGGCCGGGCGGGGGGAGCCCGGGGAGAGCGCGCCGCCTGCGCCCGGAGCTCGGGGGCTCCGCGTCCCGGCCCCGCCGCCGCAGCCTCGGCGGCCGCCTCCGGCTCCTCTCGCTGCCCCAGCGCCCTGCGCTCTCCGCGCCGGCCGCCAGCGCGAGCGGCGTCCTCCAGCTTCGCCAGTTGTGCCGTCTGGCAGCCTGAACCAATCCCCTGTCGGGAGCCCCTTTCTCACTTGTTTTCCTGCGCTGCTGTTGTTGTTTTTCCTTTTGGCAGTGAAGTTCTTGAGAGCCACCTGGAGCCTGGTGCTTACTGACTTTTTTTCTTCCTTCTTCTTCCCCAGCCCCTCTGTCTTCCCCAAGGAGGGAGGGCTGCGGAGAAAGCAGAAGATGCTGAGGATAAACCCTCCCAAACAGCAGATTATAAACTGGTGGGAGCGAGCACGGCAAAGGGAGACTTAATGAGCTTCCTCTCCTTCTCTTCTGCCCGCTTCCAAGGAGGTCTCCGCTTTAATGAATCACTGATTTCTCGCTTCCGTTGCTGAAGTAAAAAGTTCACACTTTGGCCCTCTCAGCCTTTTAAGCTCAGGGAGATTTATCGTCACCCTTAAAAGTCGCCTCTCTCTTGGCGCAAATGAAATCAGGGACCCAAATGACCGATTTCTAATTGCTAACATGAGTCCCTGACTGAATCGCGCGTGCACTTCAAAGCGAACGCACTTGATTGAGATCCCAAAGGTTTTTACCATACAATTTTGCCAAATACCCTGCTGTCTGTTTTCTTTTCTGTGCAATTTCCTTTGCACTTTACCATAAAGGGCCTGGTTTTTTTCTATCTTCGGACGCAATGCTTAAAGGGTCCTACTTGACAATATTACTGCACCATCAGCTCACTCCTCACTCTTCCGGAAGCTGCGTTGCTCGCAGAAACTCACTCACAACCCAGGTATGGATAGAACTAAGTCCAAGGCTCCGGAAACTTTGCCAAGAGTTAAGGGGCACAAAGGGAATACTGCGAGAACCCATTACAATCGAAGTAAGGGACAATTCCTCCGGGACCACTTCTTCTAAGAATTACTCTAACCTGGGAAATTTCACTGGAAGGAATGCCTAAACACATATTGGTCCAAAGCATATATGTTATGGAGGGCAGTTGGACAGTTGCGTTTTGTTGGAACGTCAGTATTTTATCCACTGGACCTGTGAAAGTAGCAGTTCCCTATGTTTCAACCTAATTGCCTGCCAATCTAAGACAGAGATTCTAGGTGAACTTGAGAGTCAAACAATTGCCACTGTTACTTGGAAGGAATTAGCCATAAGAGCTTATGATATACAAACCAAATTCCTTATAATGTGCATTTCATTGTGAACTGAAGAAAATACAAAGGAATTAAAATTGTACTTTTAGAGGTGAGAGTACGCATTTGATTGAGTAACTTAAAAAACAGCTTTACATGTAAGCTCTTATAGTTTCCTGTGCATTCAGAGCCTTTGAAATAGAACCATTTAATACTAGAATCGGGACATTAATCGCATTATTTATAACTTATTGCAAAGCTTATTTATTAGATTTCAACAATGTGGTAAACATCACAGTAGATTTTTATATTTAATATAATTAGTCCTTATTACCGTAGCTATTAATTGCAAAGTTAAGCAAATAAAGGGCATACATCAAACAAGTCTTGCTCTTTAATTAAAACATGGATATTAAAAAATGAACCCACAGTGCTGATTTCAATTTCCTAGCTCACACTTTTATACCTGAGTAGACAAATGCCAACAAGAAGGGACTGTTTCTAAAGGATTTGAGTTTTCAGCCCAATACTTCAGGAGAATTCAAATGTCTGAATTGACAAGTAATTAAAACTACATGGTTTTTATAAAAGAATGCTTAATGAAACCATAAAATGAAGATTCTGCTGTGAAAAGTTACAAAACACAGGAAGTTATTATTCTGGGGTTTTTCTACACTGGGAACCAACACTATTGATGCCAGCTTGGGTTTAAAAAAAATTTTTAACCCACAAAAGACACCCTCCCAACCCAAACCTAGTGTCTTCTCCCCACCCCAAACACACACACACACACACACACATCTCGCAACTTTCTGCTCCAGTAGAAGAAGCTGTTCCACTTTTTAGTTGGAAGTTTTATTTCTTTCTAACATGGGGAAACACCTCTTCAAAACTTCCACATTAAAATCTGTTTGCAGCAGGTGCAGTGTTGGAAAGTTCTAGAGTCCTTTTGCCACTCTTTCTGTACAACATGATGACAGGAAAGGCATTTATAAAACAGCCCAAAGGAAAAGCTGACATAGCTTTTTAGATTATATCTCATTCTTCTTTTTCTTTTCTGCACAGCCTTTCTTTTATAGCACAGTTGAGTCCCTAAATACCCCACTACTCTGCATTGTTAGGTCATCTCTTAGGTTAGCCTGAGAAAGCCTGAGAAAAGTTCCGCAGGAAAGATGCACTATTTAACGGAATTCAATCTCTCCCAATAGATTTGAATCACTAACATAAATGTATGAATGTAGATTATATCTCTGTAATGAGGCCTGAATCATTCTCAGTTACTTCAAAGGACTGAAATTCTACCTTCCTTTTTTAGCAGCAATAATCAGGTCTTAATGGGTTCCTTTATTAATTGTTTCTCTGCAAGGATTGAAAAGACCAGTACAAGCTTCAGATCAGAGTGGTACCTACCAATTCTGAAAGGCTGTTTTTCTCTTTTATACAGCTTCTGGAAGGCATGCTCTATTTCTGTTACCTAAACACATTCAGTAGTATTAGGCTAAGTCTTTATTTCTATTTCCTAAACATACTTAGTCATGTTAGGCTAGGTCTTTATTGAGAACGATAGATGTGGCCTTTTGTTAAATGTGAAGTCTTGAGAAATCATTGAGGCTTTTTAAGGCAACACCATGGCAGTAGCCCCTGAAGAATCGTAATCCATGGCTCCTGAACCTCAGAAAAGTGATCTGTGTATGTATTACCAGATCCTTCAGTAGCTATTCTGTGTGAGCAGTTTACATTTTAAGTATGTATTTCCTGGATTCTTTATGTTATTCAGCAGTCTCTGTGGTTCAGTTACAAGATGTGTGTTACACTATGTGTGATGTTATTGGCAGTGTCAGTGAGCTGCTTCAAATAATGCTAAGTCAGGTCAAAAGTCAGCCGGGCTGGTCGGCAATTTAGACATGTGCAGGCCTCATTTTTGAAGCCTGTGGTGCGGCCCTTAGGAGTTTGTGTTCCAGCCCATTTTCCCTTTTGGATACAGGCGATGCCAGTGGGAAGGCATTGTTAGGGCTTGTGGTCTTCTCAGGCTGCAACTTAGAAACGCTGGCCATAATCAGGGACATTTGAGGCACATAAAGTTGTGGTTGCTTCTTATTATTTTTAAACTAGGAGCTCCAGGCAAAAGAAAAAGAGGTATTCCTCCACAGAGAGTAGCGCAGTATTCAGAGAAACAGTGAAATCTTAGCAACACAGGTTTCTGTAGCCCTTATCTGAAATGCGTTGGATCACAAGTGTTTCAGATTTAGGACTGTTTTCATTTGGGAATATTTTCAGGTACGTAAGGAGATGTCTTGGAGATGGGGGCCCATTCTGATCCTGAAGTTGATTTATGCTTTGTACATAGTGTACCTGTCTTTTGTTTGTGCCCTATTGCATTAGATCCATGGTGCCACATTGGCACTCAAAGGCTTTCAGGGTTTGAAGAATTTTAGGTTTTGGACTAGGGATGTTCATCATGAAACTGAATCCAAATCTTGCATTGCATGGGTGAATAAACTCTTCTCCAAGTCATTCAGCAGTAGAAGAGAATTTGGAACTCCTATTACAGATTTTAGGCAATTACCCTAATGTTTTACAACACCTTCTCCTTTATCCCTCCCTGTTGCTCTTTTCCTTATCATTGACCACTCATCACTCCATTAGGTCTGAGATGCCAGAATGGAGGAGATAAGAAAGGTTAGAAGGCTTTCCTTATGGTAACTCAGTGTATCTTTGTTGCAATAGATTATCCAGAGAAAAGTAATAAAATAGTTTAGTGTTAAATTTCCAACTGATTAGCCAAAATAAATATTGATATACATATATGACAAAGAGAATATTTTATCGAAGCTTTTGAAATAAAGACAATTAGATAGCAATGCATACCTTGTATTTTAAGAATAGCTAAGGTTTTATTTTTATATATGTAAATATGTAAATCTGAAGTGACAAGTTCTCCTTCAGAAAATTGATGCACCTTCTAGGAAAGCAGTTGTATGTAATTTGATTCAGCTTTCTGTGTTCTAATATTGTTTCCATAAAAAGCAGCAAAAGATTTCAAAATATACATATTTGCTTATATAATTTTTCTTTCAAAGTTTGAAACCACAGTTTTTTCTATTCCTTCATCTTCAAACAGACTTAATGATCTGTTATTGGGAAGGTAACATGTCCAAGACGGTGAAAGGGATCTTTTGAAAGAAAAAGAAACCTTTATAAGAATTTTTAAAATATACAATAAGTCATCAAACATCCGTGGAAACTGAACTCTGCTTCTTGGTACCAAACACAACCAACATATTGCCACAAAGCTGCTATTTGTTCCCTCCAACCTGATGGTAAACAGAACCTTTCTTTGACAGAGATGTGAAGTCTCTGAAGAGTTCTGTTTGTTTTCTGTGTTCCAGGCTGTCCCTTTGTAGATTGTGCCTCCTTCTGTTTCAAACCCTTTTGGTCCTATTACCGATGTCAAAATCTTAAATATTTTAATATCATCTATCTTTGTGAATTAATGGGCATATTATAATGTTTTTCTTGAAGCTTTAATTTTTGTCACGATCAGCATTTATAATGTGTTCTTTTCTTCATCCATTCACTTAATTGGCTTTTATTCAACTAATATTCATTGAGTATCTATTATGTGGTACCTAGGCACTGTGAGTGGTATAGTGTTTTGTTTTTAATAAGCAAGACAGAGCACCTTACTCTAAAGATGAATGAATGAATGATTTTAGATACTTTATCATTAATGATGGACAAGGTAGGACTCAGAAAGCATATGGAGAGACTTGAGAGGAGGAAAGAGGGGCTCCTGCCTTCGGATAGGCGCAGCTC